TTTTGTCCTTTATTTTGGTGATTTAACTTTTACCCTACAAATGGTGCCACTTAATGCTCAGTCTTTCACATTCATGTGAAAAATATGGAAATGGAATTGTCTTTTTAAAATAAATTTACATATTCTGTTTGATTTTAGATATTTTTATTAGAATATGCATTTTTGTAAAGTTTTTCTTGGTTTTGCTCTTGAATTTTCCTTTGTAAAGCCAACATAAACAATTTTTTTTATCCTTATGAACCTCTTTCAGATTTGCCCCTTTTTCAGGTTTGTCCTTTATGTTGTTCAAGGAAATATGATCACCATACCTACAAATAAAGTTACAATAACAAAACCAGCATCTTTAATCAGCAGCTGGGTAGCCATCCACCGGGGATATTTTAATTTGGATACCTGCACTGAGAGGTGGGTTGGACTAGGTGGTTTCAGTGACCTCTTCCAAATCTAAGTTGTTATTGCCTCCCACCCTACCTTCCCTGGTGGCTTGCCTTCCTCAGGAGCATTTCTCCTCAGCTGAACTCTGATTTCAGAAATGAGAAAATTGCACAAAAAGAGAGGTTGCAGTAAGAACAGGAGATTTCCGCCTTGCCTCTTTTATCCCTGCCCAGAGTTGCTGAACTTCAGCTTCTGGCTTCCCTTGCAATTGGCTGCACGGCTGTGGCTGCTGGAATTTATACTGCAGCAATATTGGGTCACAGGTTCCCCATCCCAGAGCTGCAGGAAAGAAAACTGCAGCTGTGAGGGGAACTATGCCTCCTGCTTTACTTTTTGAGGAGGGCCAGTCAAGTTTCTCGCAAATGGATCTGTTTCCTTGTCCAGCTTGGGCCTCATTGGGAAAGAAAAGGAATTTTGCTGATGTTCAGATATTATTTCCCCTGACAATATGGCTGAGGGCCACTTGATGGCCATTCTCCTATGACACATTTAACCAGGTCAGTAGAGGAGGGTGAGTGTGATACAGGAACACCACAAAAGAGTCAGTTGACCGAATCAGCTAACTCTGAGAGTTAGATTTAGCCCTGAATAAACTCAGTCATGCATAGGATTAACTAACCCTACAGTCAGTTGTGTTGTAGGAACACCTAAGACCTGTCTAATGACCTGTTTACCTGTTTAATCCTCCAAGAAAAAGAGCAGCTGGGGAGCGGGGGGAAGCAAGATTCTCCATTCTCTACAGAACTCAGTGCAAAGGTCTAGCAGTGCAGAACACACCTCCAAGCATTGGCTACAGTGTCCACATTGTGGCTACTGCCGCCTGCCTGTCCAGTGAAGAAGGGGCTAGAGATGCAATAAAGTGTGCCAGGGC